AGCTCACAGCAGTATTGCCAATATAATTGACTTGGAACAAATATATACATTCATTCCCTCTTGCCTCAACAGAGACATGTGATTGGGTCCACAATTTACGATCGCTTCATTATATCTTATCCTTAGACAGCGGGTCACTGTTATTGCTACCATTCAATTACTATTCCTGGCGCTGAGCAATATCAATATAAGGAACTTCCGACAATTCCATTTCCTGCGCAACAGCTAACGCGGCTTTGTACCTCAGTCAAAAGAGCTTATGCTTCCTGAGGGAGGCGGCCTTCGACTCCCAAAAGTCTACTAGAAAGAATGTACATGGAACATTATTTCTTCCGCATACAGTTGATCCATGGCTAGTGGCGTTCCAGCCTGAGAAAAATATTTTTTTTCGAGTCCAGCACAAGGCGAGACGACTTCTTACGCTGTCGAAGACTTCACATCATTGAATGCTTGATAGAACCTTGAGCACTTCTGTTACTGGTACTGTGCATCTACAGTGCCTCCGCGTACTGTCTGCTCTCTTCGATAGTCGCGCAACGTACGTATTTTTATGACGCTACTGAACTTAATAAGGATTGACACGGCTTTACAAAGCCCGAAACGTCAATAACTCTTTGGTTTGTCAGCCTTACCTCTCATAAAGCGAGTAGCATCTTTATGTCTGGGTCTGATTTATCCCGATCCCCATGAGGTAAACAGAACTCTTTTTTGTGTAGGTCTGAGCTCGCTGCACCTCAACATTTCTCTGAGCGGGGTTCCTCCGGCGACTTGTGTGAAAGAACGATCCTTCATGCCGCTCAGAAAATAGCGAAGAAACACGCTAGGCGCAAATATTTTGTTGACGACAGGGGAAACATTTACGATTACCACGTAGCGGGTTGGCAGCCAGGAGAGACATTTATTTCTCTTTCGCGTCAGGCGAGATCAAAGAGTACTGATTTAGCCCTCATTGCATGAAAATTGTACTACGTATTCATCGCGGCGTCACCTACGTCCGCGAAAGAGGTACAGTGAGCGCAGAAAGTCTCGGTGCAAGCCGCACCTATTGAACTCACCATGGATTAACAGACATTTACGCCTCTGTGAATGTGCCTAATGCTACCGCGGCAATAAAATTCTTTTGTCAGCTAGTTATGGTCTTTCTTGACGGAATAACAAGAATTTAAACCGCTCCTGATGCGCATGGATTGGTGGTGGAAGAAGTATGTCGCCTCGTTCCTCTTAGACCTTACAAGCAAGCTTCAGTGCCAATTAGAGCACAGCTATATCCTTGACTTTGCGAACCACATCACGACAGATTTTGAGGTGGCCACGTACAACCTTCAGTTGTAGCTGTAACAACTATGCTGATCCACATGATTCTGTTGGTACATCTTCCGGCTAAATATCAAAATTTGAGAATAGCCCGCGGGAATCGCCTTGGACTAAAGAATTTTGTAAATTCCCCAATGAGATATAGAAAGATGTTGTGCTGATTCGGAAGCATCAACGGCACATGCACATACATATTAAAGTAAAATCTAAAGTGCGATGAATTTAATAAATTAGAGTATCATATCCACTTAAGTGAATACAATTTACTACCCGAGTAGATACTGATTCAGTCTCCGTTGCGCATGAAAGCAGGCCACCCATTACTTCAAAAGTGCCGGTAAAAACGGCTATATCGCGGCTGTCTCTGGTGAGAAACATCGGTGCTTTTCAAGAGCCTAAACGTGCGGTTGATACTAAACCTTGGATCGTATGAGGCATTCCGAGTGGCTCAGAACCAAAACGCTGCCAATTACCAAAAGGCCGCGGGATGGTGAGACGCTAGATTGTGCTCAATGGAGCCCATCGCGTCAAGACTGCTCATAAGATCGGAAACGGGTTACGTCTTCATGAGCTTACATAAAATGCTGGATTTGCTTGCGTTCTACTAACGATTCCGCGATGAAACATGTTTTTCTGGCCCCGATCGTGGACGATTCGTCAAAGCGGGTCGCAACTTTGTCGTTAAGAATACGGACAATGCACGTGAAGGTGCGCTGATAGCACTGAATACCCCTTTTACTACTAATTTATGCGGGATCTATCCACCTCTAGCATCAGAGTGGAGATTTTAGGCATCCTGACTCTCAGTTTTTGTGTCTAAAACTCGGCGCTAGACGCTCGAGATGTTTCAAAGTCTAACCGAGCAAAAATCAGCGGGTCAAAAAATATGGCCATCGTTAAGAGAGCGCTGCACACAAAAAGCCCTCAAACACAACACACACGCTATTGCGACGAGGTAGCAATTTGTGACGTAGAGGGAGAAGGAGTTTCTCAACTTGGACGGAAGAAGTACGGCTTGAGCCTTAAAGGTGAATTTGCAACTGAATAAATAAATTTATGGCTCCTAGCTACATGCAAAGCACCCCAAGGGCTCCTATAGGTTTTAATGGTAAAACCATGGGTTTCTGATGTATAATCCAGGGGTGTCCTGAGGTTGAACCCCCGATTCAACTGATACAAAATTCTGTGTGTACGGAGCTTGAACTTCAACTTTTGTGAAGAGTATCCAGTATAAGTGACAGGCTTACGCCATCCACTTACAAAGACATAGACGCGTCGGTCTCGTCGCCAGTATATTCCCCAAGTAGGAACCAGCATTGTGTATCACACGGAATATTTGTGACTTCATGATAGAAATCACGTATGCATTTGGAACTACCATACTGTAATCTTCTTTTATAAATTCCTACAGAAGATTGGAAGAGTACTTTTGTGTAATGGCTAAGTGTAGCTCATTACTCCATCCTCTCCTAATCAAGTTCGAAGACTATAGTGCGGAATCTAAGAAGCACGGGAGTAAGCCGAATGATTTTGAAGAAATGGATGAACTTGAAGCGGTATGCACTGTGGTATATTACACAAGCATCACAAGTAGAAGCTGCTCGCTCCAGTAAGGATCTCCGTGCAAATGCTTCGGAGATATCATACACCATGAAATTAGCCGTTTGTCAGACCATTTATTTTTGGATGCTCAGTACTGAGATTGATGACCAGCACATTGAAGTGAACTCACTAAATGATCGCTTTGAGCGCAGATATTCATCTTAAACAGCGACTACAAGCACGCCACACTGGCAAAATTGCTTTTCAAGGAATAGCTCGGAAGTGTCTTTACCGATACCAGTTTGCAGTCAGCATGTAGGTGAGCCATTCTACTCATAAGGTTTTCTATGACCAAAACGCCGACGAACATGATTGCATCTTCTGGAAGACCATTAACTTAGCCCATTCCTACGACTTGCTAACATTCTGTTACATATGCTGGAGTGATGAAAGTCGCCGGTGCATGCTGCAGAGATTTGACCTGCTGACACGTTTTTGCGTACGCACGTAAATGCTTAACTATATTAGCATATTGGGCCGCCAATACATGAATATATTCATTTTCTCAGCTGAGATGCCTCCCAAATAGATACTTCGCGCCTCATACACATTCTGAACTTTGTTTCGCACCATGAGGCATCACTACACGCTCAGTGTCATTGGGAAAGCAGTGCTGCAGCTTAACAAATATTAGTATTAGACACAGTGGTGTAGAAATGCAATTGCGCGCTTTATTAAAGCGGCATCTGAGTTGTGTGCTTTCCAGCTTTCATCATCGCATTACATGTTGCATTTGACTCGCACACCGTACGCATCGTCTCATTGCGACTTCTAATAAGTCAGACTCTGAGCGTATTCTTAGACACATTAGACGGAAAGGTCAATATTTTCCCGCTAATTTTTCCTCGGCAAGGAAGAATGGCCATCATTTTTGGTAGTGCCAACATCGCTCTTCTCAGCGACGCATGATCTGTACAGGGCACAATCGCCTTACAGCCGAGCAGGTCGCCCCGAGTTTGTCAAGCGCATATGCCATATAATATGCCATTTCATGTCCTAAACGAAGAAATTTACTGTGCTGCGTTGAGCTGGCAAAGTTAATGCGATTTTGCATTCATGCCCATTGGCATGAGCTTGGAGTTTTGCACAGCCCGTTGCAAAGGTAAGAGCGTCAAAGTTGACGTGGAATGTCCGATCTTGAGTGCACAATTGACGGTTATTCATATTTTCACGTTTCTTCTACCGCATGCCAGCAACATTCGATACTCTTTCTTACATTAAGCGATGGGCCAAGCCATGTTTGTATAATGTGCATGATACTGTGCAGCCAAGTTGCTGCCGCAAATTTCATTAATACAGCTGTGAAATATCGACGATAGCTTAAATTCTCGCGAATTTACCCGCAAGCCATAAGCACCCAACAAAGGAAGTATTGCCGGTGCCAAAGACACACACATATATTGGCGAACGATATTTCAAGCGCATAAACGCGAGCACTTTTCAAAAAAAAATAAAGCTGTTCATACCCGGTTTCCATTGCAACCTTTTTTTTAGGAAACGGCCTTTTGCGCTGTAAAAGCGGCCGCATTTAGCCTATAATAAGCATATATAATGCGCCATTTGTCACCACAGTTTCTGATATAGAAGGTCGTGGAGTAATTCAAAGTCGCTTACCAACTTTTGCTTCGTGCTATACCCGAAAAATGTGTTCATAACGCCACAGTATTTGATTGCAAAATTCTATTGGAGCGGAACACACCATTTAGATCCAGGAGTTATGTCAATTTATGGCGCACTCCCTTGTCCAGTATGATCTGCCGCACCAAAATATATATGATACGATTGCACCCTACGGCCTCCAATTTTGTCACGTTGAGAGCTGCTGATTCACGCTGACGCAAATCCTTTCCGTAATCTCTCATGGTGATAGAACCTAAAGCAGCTTGATATATGGGGTCCAACCGCTTGTCGTCACGGAGGACCTTTGGCTTACACAAAAGAACATCGTCAACGCGTAAATTAATTTGCGCAATCAACATCAATTTCCAAAGCGGTAGGTTACTACTCCCACAAGACCAGTGGCGACAATTGCTGCAGCCGCGCTTCTCAAAACTAGAAAACATTTGGATGAGTTCATTTTCAACATGATGTACTCATTGCTGTTTGCAAAAGGGGCACTGGCATCAACTTGCCCATCATTTCTTCGCATGTGGCATTAGGATGACTACGGGTCTGAAGGGTGTAGCATGAGTTAATAGCTGGCAACTGTGCTTGGTTTGGCAGCAACACTATGCTCTCCGTCGATTATGGGACCAAGTGAAGAAACGTGCTCAATTTCAGATCACTTTGTCGCAAGCTATCGGCAACAAAGCGGAAGGTCATGTTACCGTTATGATTGCTCTCCGACGATTCATGATTGGACGATTAAGTCTTCTATACTGCCAACAAGCGGAAGCATCATGCAAGGCCAATCTGATGAAACATTAGAACTACTGGACAGCATTAGACTGACAGTTTTCATATGTGATAAAAATCTAGTCACTGGCCACATTCGGTGAATTCAATGTCGTCAGTCCTTGGTCCATAGCACATCGATGACAGCGTCGTGCTAACGATGCGTTGCCCAAACAAAGCTGACGATTGCGGGTCTGAAAGAGGTTTGTACAGTCCACAACGGTACTCACGCACACATGGCCGTTACTGCATTGAAACATGCTGCAATTGCAAAATATCGACAATTTAAATCTTATAAACTGTATCGCACACATCGACACTGTCGTTGATACATTCACAAAGAACATGTGCTCGGTGGCAAAGCGAGATCTCTCTATTTCTATTTTGTATAGCTGAGGTCCATCGCCTCTGGTGCGCAAGTGGAGACCCAACTTCCTGACCTTCGTCGGCCCTTGTGATACAAAGGTAAACACCAAACTTAGTGCGATTTTCACTGCACTTTTGAAAGATGCGGTTGGATGCGGAAAATGCTGATGCGAGCCGCATCTCTTTCATGGCGATGGTATCTTTGACGGCCTCGACCGCCATTTTGGAGATGAGAGTTCGAAACACTTAGATATAGTTCATTAATTTTCTCCGCATTTCAAGGGTGCAAACGAATCTGAACCCGCGCGATTTGCCTGGTTAGGCTTTGTAAACATTTGAAACGTATCTAGCAGCGTGTTTAAATCTTCTATCGAGGCTCGGCACGTTAGTCTCTCGTGCGGATTCCAAGCATTTACCAGAGCCACGCCATCTGGAAAATGACTAAAACACGGCAACCTCAACTTTGCATCCAAAGACAGCAATCTCCTCCGACTATACCCAAAACTTCTAGCGGTTAATATCTGTGGCCTTTTGGTCGAAGCCGGTTGTGCTTTCACTGTTGCTTAACGGATGCATTCCTGGAGTAGGGGCGACTAATTACCGCTATCGACCCTTGGCCTGTCAATGCTGTAGCCAATCGCATCCAAAAATAGAAAATAGCATACCGAGTGAGTAAATGTACTTAAAAAATCTTTAGCCTTGCACAATAGTCCAATGTGCACTTACACCATAATAGGTGAACGAACCCAGTTCGATTACGAGAGAAGTGGGTAATGCCATCTGGTATATATAAATAAGAAATTAACTACAAGGCAATCATACGCAGGCGCCATTCATAATGCATCATGACAGCTCATATTTTTTTCAAGAACAAACATATATTCGGTAGCTAAGCTCGACGAAAGCTGATAAGCATAAATATGGACCGCGATAATGAGAAACTCATTCTATCTACAAAACGCTTAAATATGCTGACTGAAGAACAAAAAAAACAAACAAGATCTTCATTCGAAACAACAATAGATTTTCCCCTGATCAACCGCAGCAGAGCCTAATGCCGACATTTTATCTTTCAGCCATAATTTGCCGCAGATCCCAAAACCGAAAAGAACAAACAGTGTACAATTTGATGAGTTTTCCAAAATCTAACGGTGACGAGATCATAAGTCAAAAAGTTTGGTTGGGATCGGCCTAATATGTCGGATCGTGACGCTGTCACTGATATATAATTATAAACTTTTTAACGTACACAGTACAAAAAGGCTCATCAGAGCAAAGCTTTGCAATACTGTGGTGTAAGCCCACGGTGATACCCAATGTCTAAGAAATGGGAGTGATGGTACGACAAAAGTAGGCTGCTAGCCTCAGGTTATACATCAATTAGCTAGCTTTTGTAATGGGGCAGTCCCAATACACATGTTGTGCGAAACACATATGTACTTTTGTGTGTAAGTATTTATCCTGCAGTGTTGTATAAATCTCAATTTGTTATAGTAGAATTCGAGGTACTTGTCGGTCTGGGGGCGTCGAGGCAGCTTTTCTGACGTGTAGTTGTCGATGAACTATCAATAGTAAAGATAAGACAGCGATCGGTAAGCGAAGCTGGGGCGGCGGTGATCACTATAAATGCTTGTTTTTTAGTATGGCTTACTCAATTCATTAAAGCGCAAACCCGTCTAAAGATGACTAACCTATATACTCTACAACTTTGAAGACAGCTACATTATACCCAAGCGTGACAATTTCGAGAATCATGCCGATACTTGTGTTGTCAAGAGGGTACCAGCCTTGGCATTGTGGCCATCCTGAGCATTTGCTGCATAAACCTGCTCACAACATTTGCAAATACAACAGCTTTAAATCTGCGAGGAGTTTTGCGCCATGACTTGTGGAAGTCGAATTGAATTCACTTAAATGAATCAAGAAGCGCAAGTTCATTTTCAACAATTCCCACACTGAGATCGTGGTCGATTTAATTCCGTCAATTTTCTGGCAGCAATCTAATAAAGTTCAGAAATGAAAATTTGCAATGCTGTACATTCACAATGCTCTTGTTGTCAGTTATCAAATTAATGAATATTTCCACTCATTTGCGTGGGGTAGTCACGACGCTGTAGGCGCTCTCACAAGCTGCAAGGGCTGCCTCTTGATTCTTGTACCTGCCGAGATAAAGAGGTTTCTGACCGTGAAGATGTAGCTTGGCACTGTATTTCGATTTTTTTTGTTTTGTGACTACAAATTGTCGACCATCTTCAGATGTATTGCTGTGCTCGCCTTGAGATCGACCTTGGGAATAGTCACTATCTCGTCCTGAGCTGTTGGACTGCGAGGACGATATTCTCTCGATTCGGGTATCAATTGATGACAATTCTTGCGACGAGTGCCTCTCGTCATGTGATAAGGCTGAGCTTGAAGTGAGAACACCACGTCTAAAGCCAAATGCGTCACTTTCAGCGCGCTCCGCAGGATAATTAGCATCAACAGGCGAGATCGTCTGATGCTGGCGCGATCGGCTGGAGCGACTTTTCCTCCATTGATGCTTTTGGCCGAGTACTGCATACTTTTGATAGACGAGAGGTCCAGCAAAAGTAGACATTTCTTGGTTCGAATCATTGTCAGGAGTAAGATATTGTCCAATTTGAGGTCGACTGAGCATTCTTGCATCGTAAGCGCTTTTGCGTTGCACAGAATTCTCAGCTGTTTCTGGAATATTATGAATATCTACTGACACGGCCGCGCCTGACATGTTATATACACCTTCCAATTCGTTGTTCGAGTTAAAATGCGATGGTGCATGACTTCGAATACCGAACCCATTATCAAGCTCACCCGTAAACAAGGTGCCATTGTTGTGGCCATCCGTGTCATCTACAATCGGAGAAATCACCGCTTGGTTTTTAGTCTTCAAATAGCCACTGTATAGACCCCGAAGCGCATTCCTGTGCATGTTGGACTCTACTCGGTATTGGACAAGTAAATGTGATGTGCTTATTCGAGTCTTCGACATCATACTAAGAATAACATTCTTGTAACACATTTACTTCATGTACCGGTTGCAGAGAAAAGATCTCGTCGTTGACGGAAATATCAAAAGTAAGACTTGAGCCCCACTGCGCTGGTCAGCGAGACAGATGGCGTTGTCTTTGACAGCGCAATTGTACCATACAAGCACCTTGACAGCCTCAAAGCGTTTGCTGCAGCACTGGCCATGTTTTTCTATGATTATGGACATGCGGTATTAATATAAAACGGTATTACATATTTGAAATAGCATCCAATTGATACATGAAAATTTCTCTCTTATTACAAAAATTCTCGTCATTTGCAGATTTTTGGCTCAACATGTCACCAACTTCGCTCGAATGCATGGGAAGGTCATAAATAGTATTAAGTTTATGGAATGTATTGTGATGTTTCTTCAAAATGCATCGTTGTTACGTGTCATATATCAAAATTCGCGCCAAAAATGTTATCCTTTCACAGTCTATAGTTGCGTACAGAACGTAAGTAAAAAACGGCTCAAGTCAATCAACAAAAGCTACGACTTTCTTTCATGCAATCGTGGCGAGGTGCAGCCATTTCATGCTGCTAATTGCGAGCATTTCATTCTCATACTTTCATCTTGAATAATTGTTGAAAATTCATGCGTCGATCGAAGACAATATTCAGTTTATTTTGTAGTATTTCAACTTTCATATTTTTATTTTTACTGCAATTTATGTTACACGACCTCATTTATAACTTATAGTAAAGCTGGTGGTTATTTTATATATTTATGTGTTGGATGGTATGAAATTTCCTCATTAATTTTCGCTTTCGCTTATTCCAACTGTACATAGAACGGTACAACCTTCACATTGCACTACAGTATAACTGTAAATTTTGAAGCACCGAAGTGTCGCTATAGTAGAAAAAACTGACTCCGACAAAGAGGATAAACACGTGGGCTGCTAGTCGCACGTCAGAAAATGAAGACAATTCTTGTGTAAGTGATGGTAAACGTATAAATCCAGTATGAGTCTAGGTAGCATTAATTCTAAAAAATACTTTCTTGAAATAGCAGAGCTAACAGGCAACTAGTTACGGTAGAGGCTCTCTTTTTGGAACGTACAAACTGAACCTATGTGCGCTAATTAATACGGGACCATAGGGTCAAAGCTTCCTCTGTGCCAAGAGCACGGCAACCCCGTTGCACTTGATGGCATTCGTAATAATGACCCACGACCGAATTGTGGAAGAACTACACGCTCTGCGAGGATAGAACATAGAATGTTCGACCCCGGAATGACTAGACTGCCTGAAAATCTTATGCATATTGTTCGTACCGATGGAATCAGGAGATTGGTGAAGGTCGGAGGCAGCAATTGCTTGCCTGTAAGTACTCAATAGATTTCAAAAGGCGGTAGCGAGACTCAACCAGGTGCGCGCTAACCGGTAGCCGGCGAGGGGACTCCTTAAACTCGCTAAAGCTGAGTGGTGAAGACTGTAAGGGGTCGTCTCGAAAAAAACGTTTTTCTGGATAAACGAAAAACAAGGTGACCATGGTTTCGGCTTTGCTCTAGAAGAAGCGATAGCACGTCGAGTGTGTGGTCTCCAAGGTGAGATGCCGTGAGCGAGAATGGACCCTAAAGCGCAACACCGTTGAAAAGAGGCGTTCCTTAAATGAATAATTATGGAGCGATAGATGTCGCGAATGTTCGCGGCGCCTAACCATGCGTTTTGAATGCGTTCAAAATTCCTTATCATCCATCAAGAGAAACGAAAATCAGCGGACAATGTCCAGGAGTCGAGATCTACAGTCGGTGTCATGGCATTAGAATTGTCCCCGGAAACGGAACCCTTACCGTCTTCTTGGTGGGTCTCCGTGCGATGCGGCTCGCTTAGAGATCTTACTTTCGAGAGAGCGGTGGATGTAAAATTGAATGCAAAGTACCACTTCTGAGCTGCGAAGCTGGGTGAGGTATCAAAAGTGGAGACTTTATGAATGCATAAAAGGCGATGAATCTTTATCATACCAAATTATAGGCGAGAACTCTCATGATTGCTGAGCAGCTCGGCAGATATCTTGTCTGTGTAAGTGCAAAACATCTGAACCTCTCCACTCTTGGCTAAGGAGTTAAAAATACAGGCTTCCACGCAAAAACGTTTGACAAACCTTCTTGGGCAATCGTCGTCTCAGATTAGCCACGGCGGCTTAACAATTAAACTCTTTATTCTACATTGTGGAGGTTGTGGCCAAGATGACTTAGCATTTAAAGAAGCGGCTTTCACTATGCAATAACGCCGTCTGGTTCTGCACCATGATTGTTTACTTCTCATCAGAATTGAGTGGCTGGAACGCCACAAGCCGTGGATCGACAGTAAATTTAAAAAACTAGGAGTCACGCACCTCTTTACTGGCGTATCAATGGCGAGTTACCAGCTCAACTCTACTAGATACCTGAAAGGCTTAGGACATGGGCTTGATGCTGTTATATCTTGTGCAAACGCATGAATGTTTCCGTCGTTGCTAGCAATGTTTATGCTAGATGCCTTGAGCAGAGGTAGGAGCAATATTAAGTCGGTGTCTTAGGAGAAAACGGTGAACGACGATTTCATATCGCAGAATCTCTGTGGAGACGGAATTCCCAGGGTGCATCTCTAACAGGATGGCAAAGAGCAGGTTTGACGTGTTGTCTTTTGGACATTAACAGTTGAGAGTGAAAGCGACAACGGGTGCCGCAATCCGTATACGCGCACTTCCTGAGGAAGGCTTAAATCGGCTAACAAGCATCACCGCGTGTTGCTCGCTTCCAGTGAGCCGTCGATTTACGCGAACGAGGAGGAGAAGGTGAAGTGACATTAGGCTTTAAAACTTCTCTAAACCGTTAATTGCATTGGCTATCAAATGCACCAGCAACATTTGGCCATCTTGTGACGCAGTTGCGCAGGTCCCACCGGGCGTATGCACAGACATACTTTGACGAAATTTTCGTCTACAGTCGTGCGGAGCACGGGAGGACGAATGAAGAGAACCACGTCGTCTATTTGAGAGCGGTGCTTGAGTGCATGCGCACGAACAAGCTGTATGCTAATGCAGACAAGTCGACTTCGGCGCCGAAGAAATCTCCTTTTCAGGGTGCTTCATTGGGAAGTTTGGCCGTCGGGCAGATCCTGCTAAGGTCAAGGCCATTGTGGACTGGCCAGTTCCAAAGAACCAAAAGGACTTGCGCAAGCGGCTTGGTCTTGCCATATACTTGCACAAGTACAGCGAGAACTACGCAGAAATGGCACGGCCATTGTCGAATCTACTTAAGAAAGATGTGACATGGTGTTGAGACACCGAGCAGCGGGAGGCTTTTGATGCGGTCAAAAACAGCCTCTCTCATGCACAAATGCTGGCGCCGCCAAACCATAATCGTTCTTTCAGTGTCATCTGTAACGCTTCGTACTTTATCATCGGATGTGCACTACTTCAAGCAGACGCCGACGGCCAGATCAAGTGATCGCATTCAAATATTGCCAACCCAAGGCAGCAGAGAAGAACTACTCAGACCACGACGAGGAATTACTTGCGGTATAGTATGCACTTGTCAAGCATCGGGGTCACCTGATTGGCTTATAGACATTGATGATCGACACAGATCATGCATTGCTACTCGCTGTGACTCAATCGCCTCACCTCACGCAGAGAAAGGCCGGGTGGCTTTCCTTCTTGTGAATTATAAGCCAGGAAAGCAAAATGCGTTGGCTGATGTGTTGTCACGCAGATCGAATTATGAAAGCAAATCTAAAGAGTTTATTATACTATGAGCTGTACAAAATAAACTTCTTACTATCTTTCAGCACACGTGTGTCTTGTACCCCTCATTTTCAAAGATTGCTCAGAAATCTTCATTAAATTCAATATTCCGGTACTAACGGATATTTAACAATTACAAATGTAATACTAGTTTTGAATTATGTTCCCTGCTAGATTTAATAAGAATGTCCCAAATGTGTAAGGATTAAGCACACGAGATGACAGTACTTGTCTGGTTACACTCTCACCCACTAAGATGTGGCCTCATTTGGATCACACTTATCTAAATTCTTTAGTCACTGCGCGAAATTGACGACTCCAAGAGAGACCACTGCGCCTGGAAATTCTTCTCGACTCTCTGCACTTTGACATACCTGCTCGTAAGAGAATAACCTATATCCAGCAAGGTGCGTACCTACCGTACTTATCGTACTATTCACTATAGCAATCGGAATGTCTACCTTAGTGGTCGTTGTCGTTGCGATCTTGGTGGTATACAACCCTTAATTCATAATGAAATCAAGGTGCAAACTCAAGAGTTTCACTAACTCTTCACATTCCGTCACATGTTATCTGGTGCAGTGGGCTAGCTATCCCTGTTCCAAGTCTGTGATTGTGGGATCAGGCCCTGTTGGGGTAAAAGTAAATTGAGTGATGCGAAGAGGTAGTATAACCTAAGGGTCGATGGCATGCGGTTCATGATTGGCGGTGTGGTGAGGCACTTGTAACAACACCTAGCCATAATCGTCGGTACGCAAAGATACTTTGGGATGGGTCAACACAATGGGGAAGCTCAATGATAACTGAGAGAGTTGGTAGTACTGGATGGCGTAAATTTTGTGGATCGCTAATTCGAAGAATATCTTACCATATCGGTACGTAAGATTTGACGTAAATCAGATGAACCAACAGACGCAAATGGCAAATCGACAAACTCCAAGAGAAATATTCAGAACAAAAAAACAATAATCATACAAAGAGAGGGTCTAAAGGAAAAACCTGGAAAGTAAATTATTCTTAATCTGCTTTCGCTGAAATTTTTCTCTTCCATTACGTATCGGACCCAAATATTGTGCATCTGCTTACTGCACCGTGAAAGCACAAAACAAAGACTCAATCAAAAGCGTGTTTTTTGTAACCGATTCATAATCATTACAAATACCGACATTTCCGGTATTCCTGAATATTTACGATTACACCAACTGTATTGCAAATTTCGCACCATTCATTGTATTGTGATACAATTGTACCAAATGTGTAAGTATGTATGTATATACAGTAGCTGCCTCATTACAAACTGGTAGATCAAGTCATCATCATCCAGTGGCTCAACTTCTTCAGCAACTTATATACTTTGTCGTAGAGCGACCTTGAACGCATGTAAATGTCAATTCTCTTTAGTCTAAGACATTTACTTCAATAGACACTAAAAGTGGTAAATTCTGACGCACTTGCAGCACAAAGCCGTTTGCGTGGAAAGTGTCATCTGATTCCTGCTGCTTGTAGCAGGAAATGGAGTTTTACTTCATAGTGTAACGCATACCGCTAAGAGCCACTACATAATATCCGTGCTCGTTCGTGGTTAGGCAGTTGCAGTTGATTGTTACATACATGTAAGTTTTGAAGCAGTTAAAATTTGAGAAACTGTATTCTCTTTCGACACCGAAAACAATTTGTACTTTTCGAACAAGAGATCAAGTGTTCACTGTCTATTAAACAAACCCTTTTAATAACCATGTCAATATCTCTCTGCATTGTCAATATCTCTAGCGTTTCGCTTTGCGATCACTTTTTAACGCTGTAAAAGGTACAAGTCATAAAAGAGGAATAATCATTGTTTTGAGCTTAATAGAGACAGCAGATCTGAGGAAAGCAGGAATTTTCAGGTGTGCTAGCCAGTGCGTGTTCCTGAGAATTGACTTGTTTGTGGTTAGACTGCGACTTGAGGATTACGACCCAGCAATACAAATTCATGCACCCCATTGGGATAGTACCATATACCTCGATGATCTTTGTACAGTTTCGAGATTGATTACTTGACTGGCATAATTTCAAATTCCAGACTTGAGGTACTAAGATGCCGAGCTCCAACATCACGAAATTAACTTCCTCAGCACCGCTGCTCAAATCTGCGTCATCGAAGTTAGAGCATCTGTCACTTACTAGTAAGATTCCGAAATTTCTGGAATTAACGGATCAGGTGAAAAACAAGCTGAGAAAGCAAATTGCGACAGCTGTGGAAGATGTTCTGGATAGTATGATGCATGAAGGCACCGAAGACGTGTATTGGCGTGCCAAAATGCGCAAAGATAGCATCACGTACTACGAAGACAAAGAGAGTGTGACCAAGGAGCAAAAACGCTTTTGTTGCGTTGATAACACCGAAGCCTCCGTGAAGGAGGTAATCAAACTCTTTGTCGTCTCCGACACCGAGACGCTGTTACAGCGGTGTCGCATCATGTATGATAATATAATGGACGCCCGGGTCTTAACTGTGCTAGAACATCCGTCAAGCGACTTTCCCATGCGGTCGTGTTATATTCGCTACACTGCGTTTAAAACAAAATCCATTCAGCGCAATAATCGTGATATGTGTGTCGTTGTATCGACCAACGTCGTCAAATTTCCGGACGGATCGACGGTTGGCTATTGCGTTTGGGACTCGCTTAATCTTTCCGAAATATCCAAGTTGGATATACCACCAGGTTTTATACGTACGCGTATGTTCCGTTCCGGGTACTTCGTTCAGAATTCTGGCCAACCCGGAGCTTTGACAAAGATCGTGTACATTGTTGGCATTGAGGCTGGAGGACTTGCTCCACGGCTTACAACGCGTTACTATATGCCACGATTTGCCGAGGTTCTTGGCCGTATTATTGAGCATCTTCGTACTCGACCACGTCTTGATTCAAGTTCATTTGTACCGAAGTCTCAATGGACTGATAAACAAAAAGTCGAATTTTGCCAGTGCTGCAGTAAATACTTTGGTGCAGTAAAGCTACTTGATACTCGGCGATATAACTGTATGGCGTGTGGTGACGCCATTTGCCATGCTTGTCATCATTTGGAGGTCGTAGAAGATGCCAGTGGTCGTCAAAAGACTGTGGGGATATGTGTCGGCTGCAGGAGTACACCAAGTCATTGTCGTCTTATAAATTGATACTCAAAACCTTGTACAAGACACATTCATGGAGTCTTACGAAATAAATATGTTTTACAAACAGCAGTCACGCTGCATTCGTAGTTTTGCGTTTATTTGTTCAGATAGAGAACTCATACAAGAGGAAGGCTGCTGGAGCTAAAGCTTTTTTGTGGGGTCAAGTACTCGTATGATTATAAAGTCCACTATTTTGTCGTACGGTAACTTTACAAGATGAAACTTCACCGTAGAAGGCCAAGGGAATAGACTATCAAACGTACAACAACACGAAGTAACGATGAAGCCGGCAATGAATTTGTTTTTGAGCGTAGACAAGCTGTAGATTTATTGGTTTGAGCATCACTTGATCATTACTCATTCTCATTAAGAGCTTTCGTTAATACAATACCACGATAATGCAAGTAGAGATAAAGAGATTCATCATCGTTATAAATTACACGTAAGCTGAAGCTCCACTTAGAAAAGTTAAGAGAATGCTAGATACTTAAAAGTCAGGGAAAAAACACTGTTGCATGGTAAATTCGGGAATGCACAATAAAGCACAATATAATGGTAACGGCAACAGCACTTGAGAGTTATTTCGTTGCAGTAGATTTTCTTAGGACATTGACCTTCTACAAAGCATAACACTTGAGATAACAAAGTAATTGTTATACAGATGTGGCAAGCTTTTGCCAGGGTTTACTAAAAAACGCAAAATGTTGTTTCCTGAGCGTCAAAATATACAAAAGATGCGCTTGCAATTTAATATGAAGCTGGATAAATTCTAGGAATCAATAAAATCTTGGTACAAATATCACTTCTGTATCGTCCAACAAGGTCTCAGCTATTAATCTGACTCACATGACCGTGTCCCCTCAGCTCGATGACGACCTTCACGCAGTATTGAGCATCGTCGATACATAGTTTACTTCTGATATTTTGCTGCATATATGAATAGAATTGCTTCTCCCTTCTATAGAGCTTGCAGAGGATACGTAATCAGTCCTGGCATATAACTTATGTCAATACATTTCTTGCATCGCAAAGAAGTAATTTAGTGTTATCTTCATCTATAATGTTCTTTCTATCTGTCCTCTAATTTTACCATCATGAATCACTAAATCCTGACTCATTTTGCCGTCCATCCAGGAGCATTCACGAAATAGTTCAGATGTATCGAGAGTGAAGCCCATTCAACCAGAAAGGTGCTAGACAACTTACGTCTGACTCTCTATATCTTGTAGAAACTTGCCGCATTTCACAAATAAAATGCCAATACTCATTCCGCATATCTCCTTTTTCTGCTAATTAGCTTGTGAGATGGACTAAATATTCCGACTTGGTTACAATATGTAAAGTACGCAAATGTCGTCTCTTACATGTACTGACATGGCAAGGATTATATACATTTTACGTCACTTAAAACATCCAACTGTGAGGCATTTTAAGCTGGTCTCACCTTTACCGACAATAGGGTTAAAAACGCAAACAGTATGGTATCAGTACTAATCTCTACATATTTCTGAAAAACATTACTATTCCCAATATGAAGAAAAACTTATGTAATTATTCATACTAATACTAAGAGTTCAATCACCCAGACTTTGCTCTTGAGAGTGGTACTATAAAAAGTCAAAGTCTGGTCGGCAGAAAGTGCCCGAAATTCGTCAAACCAGATTCTGAAAAAATGAACTGGACAGCTATTCATATCCCGTGCATCTTCACCAACACCCGAGACTCCTCACATATTAATCATAAAGACTTTCATCATCATGGTATCATTTGCAAGACATCTCGTCCTTCTTTATGGTTGTTTATCAAGTGCAGGACTATGATGTCGCCTTGCCTTAAAGTCGGTTCATAAACTTTGCAATTTTGTTTCTCAGGAACATACGGTGTCATTTATCACCTGATGGTATGCTAGTCCTCAAATCGGAACCAGAACTACAAGCACATATCCTGATGTTTCTCGCCCGAGTGACAGCGTTCGTCTTCGTGGGCGTGTTTGGCCTCCCGTCGACCGTTGAGTCCATGAAAACGGAGGCCAAAGTATGCAACATCACCAGCGGCCATTTAAAATTTCTGGTTAACGACTTGCCAACAACATTTGGTTTGAACACATGTGTAGCTAACAATGCTGGAACGATTGTTAAGGCCGTTGCTAGCACCCTTTGGAGCAGTTGTGGCGTTTTAGACATCTATGATCTCTTTCGTAATAAAGATATTCAAAAGTTACATCAATTGATGGTCTCTATTGCTGCGAATCCTGCTAAGATTTCTCCACTCGTGTACGAATACATGGCAAATCAAACTGTTGGTACAATGGACAATCTGTGCGATGCATTTAGCGATGCTATCGGACCTTGTGGTGAAAAGGTGATTCCTAAACTCCTTCCAGCATTATTGAAAGATGATGTGTGTTGTGCTCAAATCAGCGAGCTGATTGAGCTGCTTAACATTGTGGTACCTCCAAATCGAAAATTGGACTTTTATGTCGTGAATGAACTCATTGATGGTGCGAATCGTTTCTTTTGCTCCAAGAAAGGAGATGTTTCGTGTGGATATGACATGTATTCGCAGCTAACATCAATGTATACAGTGGAGACTTTTGATTTCTTTCACCACGTGGTCTTCCCATTCATGACAATTGGAGGAGGAGATAAATGCGCAGGATTGTCGGGAAAATCCTATACGGATACGGCCTCACGGACACGAGCAAAAACGATCAATTTTGGCTGCTGCATTCATCAGATGCGTCCTTTAATCCAGACTTTTCAAGCAGCATTCAAGTACATTACGAGTGATAACTTTTGGGATATTGTGAGTGGAATGGTTGTCTTTGATGCTGCGAGAGGAAAGTTTGTCGACACACTTGCAGGAACAGAATCTTGCGAATTTGAAGGTGATAAGTGCAAAGACCCAAAAGGAATGGCCGATGACATTAAAATGTTGCGTCATCCTGGTACTGCTAAGTCGGATATGAACGAATTAATCGACACTGACTGTAAGATGGTGGGGAAATGCAATGGAGACAACACCATTTGTAGCCAAGTGTGCGAAACAGGTTCAGTCGTCGTGCCGACCTGGCTTCGATCGACATTAGAGTATCAACAAAACTTGGCTTTTAAAGGTCCACTTTGTTTGGCCCAAATTCCAGCTTCGCACAATAGTGCTATCACACTCGCAAATGGGTTTGGTAATCGTGATCAGCTCTTTAACCGAAATGCAAGTCCACACAAACCGTGGTCTTACACAAAGACGAATAATCAAATGCTAAGCTTAACTGACCAGCTCAATGTTGGCATCCGATTTGTCGAGATTGACACGCACTATTTTCTGAATGATCTTCACACAGGACATTGTGGTAATCTCGAATCCAAGACACTGTCCGAGATAGCTGCTTTATTTGGTAAGACACTCAGTAACTATGGCCAATACAATTGGGGGCCAGAATTACTTGGATGTTTTCCCTCCGTCTCTGGAATTAAAGCTTCGGAACAACCTTTGACAAGGGACACATTTAAAGAGATCAAGGCGTGGATTGATACCAATCCAAATGAATTTGTGTTTGTTTACGTAGATACAGCTGATGATATGAAGCGAACACGAAAGTTTGGAGCGATTGACGTTTTGCTTACTGAAGTGTTTGGCGAATTGCTAGTCCCACGAGAAATGCTGGATGATTTGGCTCTTCATTATTGGAAAGGGGCTAGTATTTCTAACTTTCAAAAGGCTGGATATCAAGTATTGGCTCTATCGAATGCTAAGACGAGGGTTGCTTTTAATCTCCACAAAGTATGCAATAATGTAGAAGAGCTCAGAGCTGACTTTCTTGATCATGTGCCTGACAAGAATCACGAGATCAATGGGATTACTATTTACAGCGAATATAACTGGATTCGAACATGGTCTGAGCAACTGCGTTATATCTCTCTCTCAGCATCTGGACGTCTTACAAGAGATCTTCCTGTGCTCTACGATGCGAAAACTATTCCTAAATTTCTGCGATGGGACTTGAATCTCATCGCACTTGACAATGTTGATATTTCCAAGATGACGGCATTGGTGTGGTCATGGGCAGAAGATGAGCCAAGTACGACAGATCCTGATGCTTATGTCTTTATGAATGCAAATGGTCGTTGGGTAGCTAGTACAACCGCTCGAAAACGATTTCGTGCGTGTTGGAATGAGCAAAAGTTGACGTGGAGTATTGAGCCATTTGCTATGCGCTGCTCTTCTCAAACAACTTTCAAAGGTCCAACAGATCCGTATCAAAATCATTTACTTCATCAACTTCTTGTGGCTCAAAAGATCAAAGGCACGTCTGTGGTCATTAATGTGAAGATTCCTAGTGGTACGAAGTAAATTACCAATTCACTTAAGCACAATTTATGTTGCAGATTACAAATTAGAATTTCTTTACTTACCCTTCGAAAGTCGATTAATTGTCAATATCATGTATACAAACTGTGGCGTACATGAAGAAAACCTTTATAAAGATCTTCTCAAATTTTATATTTCATGTAAAGTAAACCCAAATTTGATACCTTAAAGGACGCAAGGCTAAAAGACTCGAGGAATGGAGGATATCTTAACACAGAATCAACTTGACACAAGCAGGAATACTAGAGCAGCTTTATGGAAGAAGCAAGTCAAGCAATTAAAACTTAAAGATGTTGGTAAGAAGATAGAGGCAATGCAATTCTGCATTCGGAACGATCGATTCTTTCGGGAGCAGCTGGAGGTGCTTCCTCTTCTGATGGGATTTCTTTCAAGAACTAAAGTATAACTATCATTGAAAACTCTGCGAACCATTCTGTTGCTAACTTAGTTGATTGTTCAGACTCCTGCGCTCGTCATGGAAACTCTTGTTGCCCTCTTCACGCTCATTTCACCTTCATCTGCAACGCAGAGTATCAATCCAGAATCAGAAGTAATTCACGCTGAACTCAATGGTCAGTATTAGATTATTGTCGTGGCTACTTTTAAGCTGAAAGATTTAAGCTAAGAGTTGTGCATAAAGCGAAGTATATACTTGAGCGTAGTACAAGTCACGATGCTGCATGGAAGGCAGGAGAGCCGTTCGTAGTTCTTTTCAGTATGAAAGCTTTGGCTTCAGAAATTCGAGTTTGTCGCTACTTTTCAATTATCGACTGTACAATGAAGCTTGATAACTTCTTAAATTTTGTTTGTTATGTTAGATCAAAGCAATCGAAGTGCTTGACCGCCTTTTAAACCTTCACGGTATCCTGTTTACAGAACTGGAGGAAAACACTTCGACGTTATCCAAGTTCATGCCAATTGAATCGACTTGCTCATCATTGTTAAGCTGTTTGGGAAGTGAAGATGGTGATTTGCAGTTTGCAGCACTTTCGTGTCTTGCGTCAGCTATAAAATGTTTTTTAAGTGATGAAACTATGTGCCGCTTTGACTTTGAAAATGTCATTTCTCGGAGCTTAGGACTTCTGTCGCACTCCGAGCGACGCTTTCATCGTCCGGCACTCAACATCGTTGAAGCCTTTTCGAAATTTGGTGAGTCACAATTCATTTAAGGTCGACTAACACTGATATGAACCTGTGCTGGTATGTAGAGTCTGGAAGGCATATCTTAATAAAGAATGTTGCTATTGATGCATTGGGTAACGCGATTCGAGAAGCTCACGAAATACTTCATAAGATTTCCACTATCGTGCCTACCAAAGGAATAGGTGCTAGCCCGTTATCAGCTAACGATGCTCTAGTTTTAGGTTCCTGCATTGTAATCCTATGTCAAGTATTTGTACGAACAACTCTTGCAAGATATCAAATGGCGAAAATTGAATCCGACAAAGATGATCACATCATTTTGATGGATGTAATCGAGGCAATGATTGGCATTCTTCAATTCGATATTGCAACTGCCTTAACATCACGAGTAAATCATACTGAGTCCACACGAATGACAAATGGTACAACCGCTGCAGCTAGTACAAAAGCGGCCAATACTGCTTTGCTAGCAGATCTCTTTCCATTCAGTATCGAGCGATGTGTTAACATACTCTCCAGTCTCGGTCGATTGATCAAATATAATGCACAATGTAAAGCATATGCAAAGGCAAAGGGTCTCCTTCCAATTTTGCTTGATTTTCTCAAGGTGGATGAGGTTCATCAGCATCATCAAATCGCAGACAGGCTTCTGCATACTATCTATATCATTGATGATTTTGAATCGGCGAAAGGAATTCACGATGAAGGAGTTGAGGCTGGACAAACGCACAAAGCAGAATATTCAAGTAAACTCGATCCTTGTATTATCTGTGCGGTCTCAATTCCGTTGGATTCAGATGAAGCTGAAAGTGGTGAGTCCAAAAATGGTGCTGCTCCATCTCTCACTTTACAAATGCCGCCTCTTGTCGCGGTGGATACACTTTTGGCTCTTCTGGAGACCAGTTATGAAAGTGCAAACAAAGGATTAACTTTTCGAATTCTTCGATGGATTGGGGCTCTAGTTGATTTACCCGAAAACGCCAATGCGTTAGGTGAACGAGCTGTTTCGATACTTTTAAAGATATTGGCTACAACGCCTTTCACTCATTCACTGCTCTTTGCATTTCTTGCCAAAAGCATTCATGCCATTGTGCTTCAAAACCCAAAAGCATTCGAGGTTCGTTCGTATTGCTGATTTAATGATGCTAATAGTCTCTTAACAGGATCTTGTAGCTTTGTGGTAGACCCGGTAGTGAGCTTATAAGCTTGCTATTTCAGTTTCTACATAAGACTGGAGAAAATCCTGAGGATTCAAACGATCTTGAAGATTCACTTTGTATCGAGAATCGTGCAGATATATCGAAAACTAAATCCATCGAGACTTCACCTGATCAAGATGAGAATGTTTACGAACTTAAAGAAGTCGACAATTACGAAGACGGGATCGCATTAACGCCAATTCCTGGGTCAGAATTATTTTACAACATTGACAGCATTGACGTGCTTCTTGCTGTTTCGGAAGCCATTGCTGCACTGGCAAGAGCTTATCAAAAGTGGAACATTTCACCAATTATTGATACTTTCGAAGTTCCAGTTTCTAAACTTGCTGCACCTGTAAAATCTGGGGCTTTGCTGACAGCAGGAGAGAGCAAGAAGAAAATTTCAGCAGATCATGAGAAATCGTCAGTTGTGGGTGATGCCATAATGCTTGGTCTTTTGGAAGGATCTATGCAAGTATTGAAACTGATTTCGCAGTTCATGGGCGTCAATCCAGCTGTGTGTGTATCGCTTTTAGAGCTACTTGATATATTAATGACGACTCCTAAAGGAATGAAAGTAATGCTCGAGCTGGCAAGAAGCGAAGTGCAAGCATTAGGTCTAAACGATCAAAGCGACGGTTGTCTTTCAACATTGACGGCGGAAACTTGGCCTTTATCTGTAAATTCTTCCCGTCAAATGGAGCATACAATTTTGCTTCTTCCACTTTTGAACGTACTCCAATCTCCCGACACTTCATTCTTAGAGATCGAAGCAGCTGTGCGCTTAATTACAGTGATGACAAGTGATCACGTGGAAGCTACGGTTGAACCTCCTAAAGAAGTTATTAAGAACCTTAAAAAAGGTGGAGACGCTGCACCTGTTGTGAACTCGTTCTCGTCACTTCCTCAGATTGTTATTACTGAAAGTGACCGCTTTATCAATGCTGGTGTTGGTTGTGGAATGATAGTCGTGCTGTTAGCTTTCATGGATACCGTTCGACTTCCAAAAGCAACAGAAGATTCAAACAATCGTGTTTGCATTCTTACAACGCAAATTGACAACTTACTGCAGAAGTTTATCACTTTAGGTCAAGAGAAAGATGCAATGATTATGACAAAATACAAAGAATCAATGAGTTCTGAAGGACAATTAAGCAGTGAGACGCCCGATTTAAAGTTACCATACAAGACACAGTGGGCTCAACTTCTTAATCATCAGTTTGACATCCCCCGTTTCGGGTATATGTCATATTCTGCACTGCTTCTTGCTACTGAACTTGAACAATCGAAGTTAGTTAAGATGTTACTAAGTGTAGGGGCTTCATCTGAAACGGTGTCATCAGGAGGATTGACACCATTGATGATTGCCTTCTTGATTGGAAACACTTCAATGGTGATTGATCTGCTTGAAGCACGTGCGAACGTTGATGCTATCACGACAGATGGCCACGATATCACCGTTTGGAATTGTGCTCTCGTATCATCGATGCAAGGACAAGTGAATGATTTGATTACAAGCACGTACACTTGCGTAGGGGAGCCCAAAGATGCACTCATAATGAACGCTCTAATTCAACTTGATACAATAAACGGATCCTTTCAATGCCTGGATGTATGCTTGGAGGCTGAAGTCGATGTGAATGTATCGAATGCCGAGGGTAATTTCCTTCTCCATGCTCTGCTCTCTCAGTCTACTGTGCGTTGTAAATTACGTGGACTTGATGTTTGTTTTCGTTATGAATCTCATTTGAATGACCGGGCACGTCTGGAAAAGGCTGCATCAGATTTAATTCGAAAACATTCCGCGGATGTCAATTGCTGTAATCAAATTGGACAAACTCCACTTCACCTTGCTTTGTTGTATGGCCACACGAACATTGCAAAAGTACTGCTCAAATTCGAAGCAAATCCGAATGTGCAGTGTATGCACGGACACTTGCCTTTGCACTATGCGTGTCTAGGATTTTGTGGTACTTTGAATGAAAGTGATGAAGAAGCAATTGAGATGATTAAATTGCTTCTTTTGCAAGCCTCGCACTACCCAAAGATCGTTGGAGTTCACAAGGATTGGCGAAAGCATAAATCTGCTGAAGAGAAGCAAACTTTAGTGGTTGAACAGATACTGAAAACTGGATTTCTCAGTCTTGTGATGCCTGAGCCAATTGTATGTAAGCTCTCAAATCCCCAAGAAATTCTTGCTACTACCTCATTTCATGGCAACTTCTTGCCTTGGCACTTTTCGTGTGGGGCATGCTATCAATTCCCATCCAAATTTTGCCTGAGCGATAGTTTAATAAAGTTGTTTAAAACGAATGGTCATGTACGAGCGGAAATTTTGAAATATTTCATTCGAGAATGGCACATTGATATCAGCATGATCACAAAAGACAATCTACATGCTCTGCATTTGGCGATTAAAACTGATGTGAATGGTACTAATCTTCCAGTTATTAAGGTGTTGTTGGAGTATCGCAATCCAAATCATTCAGTAGAGAAGTCGAAAAATTTAAACATCAATGCAGTTCACGATCATATTCTCATCGATTCTTTGCCAATAATTCCTTCCAAGTCTCTTGTTTTATTTCTCGATACGAATGAGAATCGAAGACAAGCATATGTATCGACGAGATCTAATGATGGAAAGTATCACATCATTCTGGAAAATGGTCAGCATCTAGATAATGTTGCTCGCGAAAAGCTGCAGGTAGCTGATGAGTGTTTTGATGATTCTCACCGTTGGAAATACTTCATATTTATGGGGAACCGGTTCAGCGCTTTGCATTACGCTCTGCAGTTGAAACACGACACACTTGCCTTGTTGTTATTAGCTCAACCAGATATTTCTCTTGACCCTGAAGGAAACGACCTTCCTTTACTTGCATTGGCCTGTGCTGCTGGTCAGTCAACTGAGGTGGTAAGACAATTGATTACACAACAGGCAAACATGCGTGTGCATTTACCACTACGAACATCCAAGTGTGACTTAGATAGTTTCGATAGCATGACCGAGCCAATGCATGCGGCTGCGCTTCATTATGCAGTCATGTACGACAATTATGATATGGCCGAAACCCTCTTATCGAGCCCACATGTGCTTCCAAATGTACAAAGATCAGGAGATGGTTTTACTCCGCTGCATTTGGCGTGCGAAAAGGAGAATATCAAGATGATTAAATTACTGCTTGATCACGGTGCGAAGTTTACTCAACTATCGAGTGGAGCAGCAAAAGGAGTGTCTCCTTTGCAATTGCTGATCAAGGTTGACAATGTCGACAGCGATCTTTTGAAAGAGCTTGTACGTGATCATTATTTGCCTCCTGAAGTGCTTTTGGAAGGATGCACAACGAACGTCGTAGTAGTAAACGACGACTACAGTCAAAATTTAGCAGTCAATACGAACGAAGAGGGTTTTCAGATAAATGACTATGATGTGCCTTCGTGTGCCTTGTTGCAAGAAGAACAAAGGAATTTCGACATTTTTGAACGTTTTCAAGCAGTGGTGCAGGCAAGTTCTGATGAATCTCTTACCCAAAGTGTAAGAATGGAGCTGGAGAAGAGCGATAATGTACTCTGCTTGTTTTTCGAAGTACTACGAAATTATTTTCAGGTTAGCGAACCAAATAACGAGTCTGACAACACACCACAGTTGTTACCTTCTTCACTATATCATGTTTTTCAACAAATACCCCACCGTCATGAATGTTATCGTCACTATAAGACTCGGTCTCAATGGAAATGCAAGAGTAAAACACCTCGAAAAAGCAAAGCGGCTTCTGGCGAAACAGTAGCAGAACTAGTAGCGTTGCATGTCAACACAATAGAAGATGCTTGACGACTTATATAGAATAAGTGAGTAAGGAAGGCCGAAGTAATTTTTCTGTTTGGCTTTGTAACGCTAGAGTAGGTTGAGTTAATAGAATGGGGCCTATAGATAGCATTTTCAGGTAATGGAGCATTTGTCTGAAGGCAAGCGCTCCGAAGATGCAGCGAGTATTGCTCTGAAAATACCAAATCATATACCTCAATTGAATCTGAGCTCTCTTCATGATAACAAAACATCGAACTTTGAAATATCTCAATCTGCACGAACATTCGCTACTGGCAAGACATTGAGCGTTCTTCCGGCAGTACATGCCAAAACTACTCGCAATTCGCAGAAAGAGACTCTGGGAAAGAGCCAAGCAACAAAATCTCGATATACTCAAGTAAGATTGAAGTCTGATGTAGCTGTAACGCGCTTTCGTCTCGATCACTCATGGCTTAGTGATTCAATGAAACCCGATCTGCACCAGAAGAAATTGTATACAGCTCAATGTTTTGAGGCGCTAACGAAATGGCAACAGACGATGAAAAATGAATTTCACAAAGCTGTTCTTGTCAGTATTCTAGACGTTCTACACACTGCAATTTATTCATCTCCGAGTTTAGAGATGAGTGGAGACTTAAGATCCTTGACTTTATCTTCTTTATCAGACTCACCAGTAGAGAATCAAATTCCTTTAAGTGAAACTGGAATGGTTGAGTATTTCTCTCTTGTGGCCGATATGCAGGAAAAGCTAAAGCTGCAACGACAGGAACGCTTACGTTTGACCACTCAACTTGCGATGGAAAAGTCCCTTGAACAGGATTTATCAGCGCAATTGCAACTTTTAGAGCATGATCTTGCTCAAAGTAACCTGCGCCGTGCGTATGCACGTGCAGAAAGTGAAGGTGAGCAACGCATCGTACAGAATCTAGAGCACGATTACTCTTTATTGACTGAACAAGAGCAGAACTATCAGAGTGATTGTGAAAAGTTAGAGCTCCAGCTTGCGAATCAACAAGTTCAATTGAAAGAAGCTCGCAATCGACAGCTCTACTTGGATTTCATGTCGACTGCCCCTTTAAAGCGGCACATGGAGGAGAAAAAGTGGCAAGAACAATACATGAGACTCACTTTACAATTACAAAATGCTGAAAGAGAGAATCGAAGTTTAGAAGACAAGATTTGTAAATTGAAAAAGGAGACTTTGGACTTAGAAACGCAATATGCGCGAGATGTTGAAGCTCATGAGAAAGCAAAAGTCGAGCTGAATGAGGTTTGTGCTAATCATGAGCAACTAAACGAAGCTTACGAACGAACTCGCGCATGTTACACACCGAGACCTGATTGGGATCGTATTGTAGCGGAGACGCCGGAGTTGTTGGTATATAAGCCGCCATGGGAAATGGTTGAAAGTAAAACTATGCAGGACATGACTGATTCATCTAATCGAGATTCAGATATTGTTGAAACTGGAGTACTCGAACGTACAGACAAGGAGGAGCTAAGTGATAATAAAAATACTAGTGGGCAGACGAAAAATCTCGTGAAAGAAATGCTACATTGGATTGAGCGTCTTCAAAAGCATTGTGGTGCTAATCTTTATCTGAGTCGTGTACGTGTGATGATGACTAGCTAAACAACTAATATCTTACTTTAATTTCCTCTTATTGGTGAACAGATGTGGCATGACGTCGAGGAAGCACGTGTCGAACTTAACATTCTTCATCATCAACTTGATCGTGTTGCTCGCAGGAAATCGATACTATCTCTGTTAAATGTCTTAGATGCAGATTCAATCGCAATAGCAGCTTCTGGATCCCCATCGAAAAAGAAACAAGAGTATATCTTGGCGCTTGGAATGCATGAAGGCGTGCCACATTTCTTGCGTCATTGTGGAAAGTTAAAGCGAAAAGTTCTTCGGAAAATCGATGTCGACAAAGTGGTGCGTAAGGTGTGGGTTGAAAAACGTAAGCGAGAACAGCGTAACCCATTAAAACGTCTTCCTCTGGAGGAAATACTTTACGAGAAGCTCTATCGGAAGTATGGATTTCAGCCATTGATTGCTGAATGGGGCTACAATATTCTACTAGCTCTTCAAACGTTTAGCTGGGACTCGGAGATTGAATTGTTTCTATTATGTTTGACTGGTGCTGTCTCCGATCTCGTGTATATAGACCAGGAACAGATGATTCTGAAGTGTCGACAATTATTACTTCGACTTTGTGAGCTTTACAATGTTGGGAGCTTCGTTGGTGAGAGACGTTTACTGTTAAAAGACGCTTTGGTTGCATTAAGGACATTTTTTCCGCTTAAGACGTCAACTCAATTACAGGCGATTGAAAAGTCCATTATTCGTGATATGCACAAGATGAAACGTGGTGGAAATGATTCCATTTTGTATATTGATGATGTCATTCCAATGAACGACAAGTACCCGCTTGGATTTTTTGTCAAGACTATACGAGCCCAGCATTTTAAGGAAATTCAGGACTATTACGCTTTGTTACTGAGGTAAAAATGTCGGTATTACTTTTGTTTGTATAGAGTGAAGTTAACATCATCATTTCTGTGATGTAGTGAATTAGAGCAGCGAGACACTGAGCATAAGGGCATTTTAACGATTGCAACTATACAAACCGTACGACTTTTTCGGTTGAATTTGAACTGATGCGAAATTTATGGTTTCTTTTTAAATATTGTCAGACAATTCTAACAATGGATCCGCTTGCAGACCCTGGAAAGATACATCATATGATAAAAAAAGCTTTAGATATTAAGACTCAAGGGCAAGCCCATATACATGAGCCTGTAATATACAAAGCTGTGTTGAGGGTAAGCTTATCATTATCGCGAGCGTTTGGTTTAATTGACGTATGAATTGTGTCATCACAGAAACTTAATGCTACATGCCTCATGAAATTTACATTAAATTATGACCAAAACGCTGAAGTAAATTGGCATCGTCGACCGGGAACTGTGTGTGCAGTCTCCTCGACCGACAATACTACAGTAATGAAAATAACAGACAGCAGTCAGTAAGTAATATTAGTTTTTTTGAATTTGGACCGTGCTATTGTCAAAATCTACAAAAAAATTAATAGTATCATCAGACTCGAAATATTACAATTTGAAATGATCAAAGCTCTGTTAGCTGGTTGTACCTTGGGAAAGTCAACTCGTTCCAACTCATTTCTTCCTGCACCTACAGGTCGCGATTTGCTGCGTGAATAATAAATTCTAATGATACAAATTCTTATCTGGTCTGTTTCGTAGAAATCACAAACACGTTATCAGAATTACAAAAACTTACGGAGACGCAGTTGCCATTCTACAATTAGATCTGATCGATCCGGTTCAAGGACAATCCATGATTGTTCACACTTGAAGCCACGCGATGAGCTTCTGTGGAAGACGATGCCTCGCACTTTGAACCAAAATTCAATTCTCTCTTTCTCGGCAAGATGATGCTGTGTAAGGCTCAATTACCTCGCTTAATGTTTTGCTGTGGATTTCTGGCCTCTCTGCTGGTATGCCCTATACTAGCGCAAAAGATGATCTCACGCGGGAGTACGGGCGTGCACATTCTGTTCCAAACAGATCAGTGGGTCACGCCGGCTATTCACTACAAGAATGCTAGCGCCAGCTGGACCACTTTGACCAGTGCCGCTATGTTCGCTAGCAATAGATCTGCTTATTCATCTGATGACGGCTGGTTTCAGTACGACGTTCCATTCGTCACTTCACTCGAATTTGTCTTTACCGACGGTAGTGGCGTTGCCTTGGATAATAATAACAATTCAAGCTACAAAGTCTTGGCTCCTGGTATCTACTCTATAGTAACGAAAGTCTCTGGTTTCAAGTCGGGAGATCTTGTCGGCCCGAGCGATGGCACAAGCTACAATATCCTCTACCAGCCAATAACATGGACCACGCCGTACATCACTTTTAACACAGGGAAGGATTGGACTATTGTCCCCGGATTCGCCATGTCGCCTAGCACGTACAGCGGCAAGTTTTCAGCTGCTAACGGCTGGTTCCAGTACACTATTCCATCAACGAGTAGTGTAGACATTGCATTCAATGATGGTCACCGTGCTTGGGATAGTAATTCAACCACATTTTACAATCGACAGTCGCCAGGTACGTACGCATTCGTGAATCAGAACACGGCAAAGCCTCCAGTCCAGCGGTACGTTAATGGACAGGGTTACTCTGTAATGTCGGCCACTGAAGTCTCAGGTATCCTTACCATTCGCCTAGCGCTTAATAACGGCTCGACGTCGACTCCTTACGGCACTGACTTGTCGGCACTTGTTGTGACGGTGATGAAGACAGAGAGTGACAGTGTACGTGTAAAGATCTTGGATGGGAATACAAAACGCTGGGAAGTACCCACCAGCTTATTCCCTGCTGGTACGCTCGGACTGAATAACACAGCAGCACCACCCGCAGCAAATCCGTCGTATACATTTATCTACACGCAGAACCCATTTACGTTCAAGGTTGTGCGTAAATCTGACGGCTACATGCTCTTTGACTCATCTGTCATTCCGCTCGTGGTAAAGGATCAATATCTGCAAGTAGCAACAGCGCTTGGCAGTGATCTCAGTGTTTACGGTATTGGAGAGAGTACCCGCGACAACTTCAAGATGGCGACGGGTGATAAGCAAACGCTGTGGGGGCGTGACCAACCCTCTTCGAAAGTTGACGTCAATACTTATGGATCTCATCCCTTCTTTCTCGGCATTAATAGTGCTGGTCAAGCACATGGTGTGTTGCTGCTTAACAGTAATGGTATGGATGTGACGATGGACAGTGGACGCCTCGTGTACCAGACAATTGGTGGTGTGCTTGACTTTACCATCATGGTTGGTCCAACCCCAACAAATGTAATGTCACAGTACACGAAGCTCATAGGACGTCCAAAACTTATGCCATACTGGTCGTACGGATTTCACCAGTGTCGATGGGGATATGGCTCTGTTGACGAGCTTCGAAAAGTTGTGAACAAGTACAAAAGCAATCTTTTGCCCCTGGATGTCATTTGGGCTGACATTGATTACATGCACAATTTCCACGACTTTACAGTTAATCCAATGAACTTCCATCAAGCCAAGATGGCAGCATTCATGGATGAGATTCATGCAAGTGGACGGAAATTCGTGCCAATCATTGATCCAGGTATTCCAGACGATACGAACGACTTTGCGTATTCAAAAGGACTTTCCATGGACATTTTTATTAAGGATACAAGTGGCAAGCCATATTTAGGCCAAGTGTGGCCAGGTCCTACCGTCTTTCCGGACTTCTTCCACCCAAAGGCAAAGTCCTACTGGGGCGAACAACTTCGGCTTATGTACGACAATTTTGACTTTGATGGTCTTTGGATCGACATGAATGAGTTAGCGAATTTTTGTCCAGGAACCACTTGTGTTCGCCAGTCTGGTGTCACGTGTCCAAACACAGGAAGTATCGATGCCATCACGACATGCTGTTTAAGTTGTTCTGGCAATGGTAATAAATATGACAATCCACCGTTTGCAATCAACAATTTTGACAGCAATGACGATATCTTTAACAAAGGTATTTCAGCTAGTGCGTTGCATTACGGCAATATTCGCGAGTACGACGCACACAACTTGTATGGTATCGCTGAGTCCATTGTGACAAATGCAATTCAGGAAGAATTAGCGAACAAAAGGTCGTTTGTACTTTCTCGATCAACATTTCCTGGAAGCGGTGTTCACGTTGCACACTGGACTGGTGACAATGCAGCGACATGGAACGACTTGCGCTGGTCGATCCCTGCAATTCTTAAGTTCGGGTTGTTTGGCATTCCGATGGTTGGCGCCGATATTTGCGGTTTCCTGGAAGCATCCAACATGGAATTATGTGCACGTTGGACAGCCTTAGGCTCGTTTTATCCGTTTGCTCGTAATCACAACAACCTCGGAGCTCCGTCTCAAGAGACTTACATGTGGCCTGAGGTGACTAAAGTAGGCCAAAAGTTCATTGGTATGCGTTACCGTCTGCTACCGTATTTGTATACGCTCGGATTTCACGCGCACATTCAGGGTCTTCCTATCGCTCGCCCACTTTTCATGGAATTCCCAAAAGATATAGCCACCCATAGTATCAATTATCAATTTATGTTGGGAAATGCATTGCTAGTCACGCCGGTTGTGAATCAGGGTGCGAAATCGGTTAAGGGGTATTACCCTGCTGGCGTCTGGTACAATATTCTCGACTATTCCAAGGTCTTCAGCTCGGGTGAATCTTTTAAGACGGCAGTGACGCTGTATGATATGCCGGTGCATATTCGTGGCGGAACAATTCTAGCTATGCATCAGCCAGCTCTCACAAGCACGGCAACCCGCCAAACACCCTTTGACATCCTTGTCGCATTACCAAATAATGGAAGTGCTACCGGAGATCTCTATCTCGACGATGGTGAGACGATCAGTAACCCGAACGCCACGATTGTCAAATTTATTGCAACTGCCGGTTCGTTCAAATCCAAGGTCATAAAAAACGACTACACTAGTGCACATTCCAGCTTGATAAACAAAGTGATTATACTCGGTGTGAATGAACCACCCTCGAGTGTATCTTTCGGTGATATATCTGCGTATGATGCCACCACGGAATGTCTCGAAATTAGTTTATCAGTCGTCGATCAGAGTATCGACTCGAGCTTCACAATCACGTGGAAATAAGTATTAAATTTTAGTAGTAATATTTAGCTACTTAAATTACTATTTTGGGGAGGAGTGTTAAGCTCTGATATATCTTGCGCCAGATCTAATAATCAAGCATTTTACTATCGACTAAATCGAAGGCCTATACTATACAAAATTCTACACAATTATCAAGGCAATATCACAAATGGGTTCATAACCTCTATTTCTGGTCGTATAATGGATAGAAAGCTAACTTGGTTATTTAAAAGATATGGATGATGGTGTACAGCACAAGCCCAGTAGCTGCCATAAGTACTGGGGCATCCATCGTGTGGGGTGCCGTTGCTTCTGCATAAGCCACGACGAAAGGCAGGATAATCATTGTTAACCACAGCTGCATAGGCGTCTCAAAATCGGAATATTGGAGCGCTGGAAATACAATGCCGGACAAAAATACACAAGCGGAGCCTTCAAAACTGCGCGTGTACTTGCGTTTGGAACAGCACGTACTTGTTGAGTATTTATGTTTTCCGAATGCAATACCAATGGGTTCAGCTAATCCATCACCGATGCTGGTTACAAAAACGAGAATGAAAATAAGATCGGACTGCGTCGTACGGGCAAATAGCCAGCGAAAGAACAGCAACACAAAGAGGCCTGGAAACACATTCCCTGCCACAATCCACTTAAGCGTATGTGGTCGGTCTTCAGGTCGATCAAGCGAATTAAATTGCAGCATAAAGAGCGTTGAACGCTCGCGAATGGGCTTAATCATAAGTAAGAAACAGAAGAGTGTCACAAAATCTCCCCAAGCCAGTGCTAAGGAACTATCGCACTCGGGACATGACTCTTCATCCGGCTTAACGAGTAATGGCACGAGGTATGCCGCCAGTAGCTGAAACTTTCTCGTGTAGTTGACTTTAAACACGGAGTTACGTTCAGTAATGACGTATCCAGCATCGTCAATGATACAGAAGAAGCGACAGATGATGCCTCCAAGTGTCGAAACGCCCATCATAATGAGGACCTTTGGCAGCAGGAAAAACCAAAAACTTGTATTGCTCCATAAATCAGGCTGTAGCACCGTCGTGAGGCCTGTAAGTACCGCAGCAAAGAGCGTCATACCCACAAGAAAGACGAAATCAAACGTGCGTGTCCACCGCGTATCGTAGCGACCTGCTACCTGTCCAGCGTAAATGAGGTCATTCGAGTCACCGTCGTAGTCGTAGCTATCATCATCCATTCCTACACTACCGTAGGTTGGCACCTGTTTCGGTAGTCTAAATTTTGGTCCAGACTTTGGACGCCATAGGACGCGTAATACGAACGTAATCACCAATAGAGAGCCTAATGGGAGTCCAAATAGCAGTGAATAATCGGTCTTGTCCAAATGGTCGGACCAAACATTAGGCGCAACAATGGGCTCGGCACCTACGCCACCAGCTGGGACACCTACATCTGCCATAGTTGTTTGTTGTCCAAAGAACAGAAGATAGTGGGGTCACTTGCTCGAGCAACAGCGGGCGTACGTTTCAAACGATCTTTTTGCTACCTACCAACGACTACAATACATTTATAAACCAGAGACATACTGATACCAAGTTAAATTGTTAAAGCGGACTCATTATGAGCGTAAAATATCACAGAAACAGTAGTTTGGTCTAATATAAAATTCTGGTTACCTAGCTATCATCTACAGTGACATCGTATGCAGCCTGAAGCGCCTTGAGGTCATCCTCAGATATTCCTCCCTTTGTATCACCAACGACAAACAAGTGCAGCTGAATATCTCGTAACAAATTGCGATCCAAGTTGATAGCTGAACTTGCTTGCTTGGCCACGAAAATCACATGTTGCACCTTGAACTCCGTATACGGATAGAAAGTCAAGTCCTCAGCAAGAATAGATGACACTTTTCCACTCTTGTATTCCTCAAGTACGGTTTTATTCACACTTTTAAAGCAGTCCAATGGCGTCTTGACCAGTCCAGTGGTTTTGTAACCCATTTCAGGCTTTTTTCCTGAGCCTACACCACGCTTGCTCTTCATCTTGATCATTGATGTATGAATATTCATCTTCTTTTTCACAAGCTTAAACATTGATCGTGTATCCACCAAGATAAGCACTTTTGCCTTCTGTCTTTTGTCCATACAACGAATCTCTGTGTGCTTCGCGACCGCTTTAGCCACCGCATTATCCGATGAACTGCATAGCCACAGAGGTGTTTTTAACAGCTCAAAACGTGCATCATTATCAAATATCTCATCTGATTGCACACCCTCTGGCTTGTCATCATTGCTGACAAATTCCTGTTGAGCTATTTCAATCGAGTCGTCCTTGCCAACATTTTCGTTCTGGCTAACAGCAAGTTTACGCCGTTTTTTCTCAGTCTTCTTCTGTCGCTTGCTTTTAATGACATCGGCGACAACTACCTCGATCGATGGTTTCTTCCACCGCGGATCGCGAGTGCTTGGCGGTTGAAGCAAGCGACCTGAGTCATCATCAGGTGTAAGACCTTCGACTATGCGGCGTTTGCGTGTCTTTTTGCGTGTTGCCAGAGTCTTCAGCTTCTTCTGCTTATAACTGCTCGACATGCTGACCAGGCATCTATAATATTAACAAGCAAGGATATCACACAATAATAATATACTACTATACTATAACCAGCGCAAATATCAAATTTTCTCCTTTTTCTGGTCTATCTCTGAAGAAATTGCGATTATTTGTGGTAGTGATGAACATCAAGTCACTTGATGTTCATCAGAGCACCCGCACAGAATGTCAGAGAAGTGATTCTTGATCATACGGCCTCATTTTGTAGCAAAACTCTTAGCAAAATTCTAAGGAGACTGGAAATATGGGCGGAATTAATTGATCTGCCCGACAGAATCGTACAATTTTTGTGAAGGTACAATTTTAAGATAGTGATAGCACGCAATGGTTTTTGTTTTAACCTTGATTGAAGATGTTATTTTTGACCAATGAAGATATGCGCATTTTGCCAGACCAATTATTTGTAATATAAATACAAATCAAACTTTAAAAGCTATAGATTATTAAATTGTAGCAAATTCCAAAAATATTCAGACAATATATACCTTAATGTATTTATTACGTAAAGTTTTTGGATAAATCAAATCTGTCATCACCTGGATATTGTAATCCTGCTGATGATCAATAGATCCGTCCTCGCGATCACAATATTATGGCACATGAGAAGCGGGCCGTCTTCGTCGGTGAGCACGCTGCACTATATTAAGCTGAACGAGAAGTGCAATAACTCACTATTTTGGCATATCTGCATTCACTGCGAACGGGCCGACAATCAAGACCCATAATCGGTCGACCATCCTAAGAAGTCATTGGTCACAAAGAAGCATTTGAATCCCATATGAGTGTTTGCTAACATAATTAATACTCTATGACCCAACAGCAAACGTGTCAGCTGGTTGCTGCTGTAGACTATATGTCCCCAATCCAGTCAAATATCGATCAGGAAGAAATCTCAGCCCGTTGAAATCGAATCCTGCTCGGTGTACTCAATGTAATAAATACAAATTCCTAAGGAGTTTGTGTTGACACGTTTCAGTCGTCGGGTCATGGTGGGAAAGTAAGTTTGGAATAATTTAATGGAAAGATAAATGAAATTCAGAAAAACGCTATCTTGAGTGACGGTATTAGAATAGTGTAACGCGAACAGCGAAAGATTTTCGATGTGAAAAACATGTGATTGTTCTTATGATATGGTTATTATCAAGCGATTCAAGCTACCGGAAGCCACACGCTAGGATCAAGCTTTCTCTAGCGCGGGATGCTCATATATATCCAACCGATTTTGGGACCGGGTTCCGTACTCCTCACGAGGAGTACTACATTATGGGGTTCTTTGGTCATTAGGGCCTCCTCCCGCCCAACTATCACACATGATTGGGTGTGGGCAGGGCTGTCACATCACAGGGGTGTGATTGCTCGTCCACATTAGTGATCTATCTCCGGCGTCTTTCATTCGGATCCTATGGGTATCGAACCAGGTACCTCCCGGACCTAGGCCAAGCTACAAACTACTTGAGCCAGAAATCGGTATGGTCATTATCAGGACCAGCAATGTTATGTTGGTTTAACTTCATAATAACCAATAGGTCACGTACATCACATCGTCAACAGCTGCAACAAAGCATTGTACTTGAAAAATGTTCCTTATACAGTTAAACATCACAGTATTAGGAGAGGATTCTCGGAAGAATTGTACAATGTTTAAATGGGAAGGCAAGTATCAAACCAACATCGATGTATAGCGTTGTACCCTGAGTAATGATTCTTAGTATGCGAAAATGAGGGAAATTGAGCGATCCTGCTGTAATTAGTGAGCTCATGGAATATGCTTTTCCGGCGATACTAAATTCGGCGAAGATATGAAGATTCTTGCAATTGGTATCAATAGTCGTACGCAGATATGTCCAATTAGCGGCTCTCATAGATAGTCTTTCTGACAGAGTTTGCTTTGTTTTTCGATATCGCTGCTGGTATAAGAAGATTGCAACAAAACGTTCAATGAGCCAATTTTCCACTTCAAATGATGGCTTGTTATTCTATACAGAACTGATTCCATGCTTGATTCAAATTGTTATTAATAAAGTGTTTCATTCCACATGACTGTGCGAATCGGATGATGCAGTAGAGCAATTGCGGTATCGCAGCTGTTATTAACCTAAAAACTTGGACACATTAGGTGCTGCACGCTTCGACAAGTGTGTCTTTGGCATTTAATATAGCCTTGATAACGAAATATTGAATTGATGAAAGGAAAGAACCGTCACAGCAGTTGTTTCAGGATAGGGTTAGGCGTCATGAGATTGCTATGATCTCTGTATGAATATTTGATGTCAAATTTGAAATCTGGAAAGCTGTCAAAGCCACCGGTCTTACGCCCAGACGATGACGTTAATCCGTTTTGACAAGGCTCAGAGATCGCTGTGTTGAATTGTTGTACGAGGCAAGACCCAAATTCGATCATGAGTTTATGCTCACTTCGGTAAGTCAGTCACTCATCGATGCTTGGCCAAGATACAATAAGAGGCAGTCCGATCAGACGCAGCTACAATCCATTACGAACAAGCAAACAAAACGAGCACCAGATGATTACTCTGCTAGTACTTTCTTAATACACAGTACATACATAACCTGCTGGATGGAGAGACAAAGACGATTCGATTTTGGCGATTGCTGATTACTCGTAAGAAGATAGCTGAATGTGCGATGATATTGACGAAGATGATGAAAACCGCGTCTGGTCGAGATATTCATGCTCACCAGCGATTGCAATTGCACTGCGAGTCCGCTCTCGTTCACGATAAAATGGCCAAATAATCTTTATCGAAAGTGATGCCTTCGCGACCGATGCGCTGCAAGAGATTATTAGTAAAAATACCAGCCTGTTTCCAATGAGGGAGGTCTCGATAACGTACCGAATCTCGACGAAACTCCTACTTCCTCACCCGGCAATGCACAGTTTTAGGGTTTAGTCTCCAAGGAGAGGCGATCACTGCACTCAGCCTCCCCACCGCACAATTCGTGCAATATTTGCCCTTTTGAATGAGCAGAAAGAGTCTCGACATTATGCTGTGGATACCATGACGTCTGCAGCACGCTACCAACGAAACAGAACTGGCTCAACTCACTTCACTGTAAGTATAAGAGTCATGCCAACCCTTGCCCCAATCACGTCATAATTGCGATTTTTCAACCCTCCGATGTTGGTCGCTGCGTTGGCGTGGCACTCGTACATTCCAACGCGTTTGGGCCTTCTGTGTGCTTAATGCAGGAGCGGTTGACCTCGATGTCTAGAAAGCTGGCCAAAATGCGGCTGAGATGATGACTAAATTCGCGGCGGTGCGAGGAAAACTTGCTGCGTCACCCGTCTTTCGGCTTTTTGACAAGCCCGTTCTAGCGAAGAAGGTGTCAGTCTTAAGCGTCGTCTGATTTAAAGCACGACGCAGACGAAGAGGTAAAGATTGTTAACAGTCTCGCTTGCCTCGATGAAGTAACAAGAGCAGCCGTTTCTTTCACTACGAGGTCGGTCTTCTTCACTAGTAGGAGTCGCACTACGACCGGCAAATCTGACTCGTTCTACGACGATAAAGGCCGAGGGTGTCTCGGTCGTAAGCGGTCAGAGCAAAAGGACAAACTTGTCAAAGTGGAGTGTCAACAATGGTTCAGCGACAAAAGGCAGTTATTTCGCTGGACTAGAAACTGGTAAAAGACTCGATACCCATCGGAAGTTCAACAAGAACGGCGTTTTCCCTAGCTCATAAACTATTTAAGCGATGGCTGACCCCTTTGCGGCTAGATCTCGTATGCTCTCTCAGTTGTGGTGGCGGTTTGACTGTCGCCAAAAGTCAGCGCGTGCGATCAAGGTTAAGTTAATGCAGATTTTAAGCACATTCTCCGGGTTCTGTCATCATACTGAGTGGCTTGAGATATCTCTAGTGACATAAAACCGCTTTCGAGCAGAGGTTGATTAGCTACAGGGGTTAATACAGACGCTACTCCATCTGCATGACTTTGTGAGGCCACATAGAACACTGGGTGTGTTCACTTCGCTTGAGGGTATCTAAGTCCGACTTAATTCTTTTGCCTTATGATCGTGAACTGCTCGCAGTTGCGCGGTCAAACCTTGGCATTATGGACCGCAAACACCGCTTGTAGAAGTTGACTAGTTGATTTCACTTAAACGTTTTGCCACACAAAATCTTCTTATATGTTTCGCCTATCTCTGTAACGGCAGTGCTACTTCTATTTATCCTGGCTCTTAGATAATGCGCGCACGCTGCCCATGGCGCTCAATCCCATTGAATTTAAGTCAATGATTTTGCTAGAGGTGTATTCAATTTATATCAGGAATTCTGATTTAAAACCTCTCCTATGACCGGGGCCGCTTCGTGGTGGTGCCAAAGGCACTAAATAGTTTCCAAAATAATTATTATGTAACGGGGTTACACGTACCCTACGATGGTGTAGCTGTACATAGGTGTGGATTACACTGATTTTGCCAAGGAGACCGTGTGAAGACATAAATGTAACGAATGTGCCATGTTCGAAGCACGTCTGTTGGGGGACAGAATATCTGCACACTTCGCGCCGACTACTACTCCAGAAAGAATAACGGCAACTGGCAAGTTGTGCATACTAAAAATGCTACATGCAGCTACCATTTCGGCGTACAGAACAGCATAATTCGCTGCTGATTGTCTTAAGATCACGATCGTGAAATCACGTTTGTCAGTTGAAAGGGACAGAAAAGAGATAACCGGTTGATAGAATCGAGCTACTTGCAGTGGGATATGTCCTTGTTAAATTCATTTTGCGTCTGCGTCGATCTATGCCAATTTATTATTAAGAATTATGCGTCATTGCGCATAGCGACGTCGTCACCACATCGCTCACAGCAAATTGCAAGAGACAGTAATTTTTCTTTACTATGGTCGGGAAAGTGATGCACAATGAATGCAAGGAAAGAATACGAAACCGTACTGGATGCATAACATCAGTATTCATGTATACTTTGTTATTGTGGGGTATTTTGTTAAAGAGAGAA